CTATTTCCATTGCCGACCAGTCACACATTAATACATAAACTCAGATAATCCAGATGCATACTCTTTGATGTACGTACAAATTAAGTTTCTCACTCGTGATTTTAGAAAAAAATTTAATTTTATTTTTTAATCACTTAATCACTATTACAATTTTCCAATAGGTCGAACTTAGTCTATTCACTGCTCGTTTACTTTTTACTGATTATCACTACTGCTCGATTCGGATCTCAAAAACGGACTGTCGATCTCTAGTTCAATGATTAATAATCAAAATTCGGCTTAAGAGAATTTATCCCCAAAACTTGATAAAGAGAATGGAATCTCAAGAGAGTCGGAAAATAGGATGATGCAATTTGTCAACTAAATTTGAAGTCCAATCTTGGCCGGAAATTGGTGTTTACATTAGCGGAGTTTAGGGACCGCTTTGGGGATCTTTTTGATTACGTTAGCGGACTCGGGGCTCGCTTTGGGGATCTTTTGTTTACGTTAGCGGACTGGATGTTTACAGCATCCGTTTGATTTGGAATGCGAGAAATTGATCTGGGTGGGAATGATTCTGAGGCCTAATTGACAGAAATAGCTGACCACGGATTTATCTCGGGTCTGTCAGAGTTATTTGAAATTGGCTCTCGGCTCAAAGTTGTTTATAAATTTGGTAAGAGCCCCCAAATAATGAGTCATATAACTTACATATGCCCGACCATCTCAACATATGTACATAAAGAAGCAAAGCACATACGTTCACACTGCACTCCCTACAAACATATCAAGAGGAACATTTACAATACAGTCCACATAATTTATAATTTCCAAGTATGAAACATACAATTTAAACACACATATTTCCGAGTTCCCGCAAACACACACATCCATACATAAACACAGGTAATCCAGCTGTAAATATCTTTCAGAACATTTTCTTTCCGACATTTTCTTGTTATTTACGTGCACATCAAGGCAGTTGTTTCCAAATCTTTTAAACGGTACAACGTTTCCGCTTCGACATATTCCAAAGGTAGACCGGAGCTGTCATCGCTTCAAAGCCAACCACGAAGGCAAGGAGCGAAACTTCATTAGCCACCCAAGAAGGCGACAAAAAGTGGTCTGTTCCTACGAGCCATCAGAAACGATTGTCTCTAAGTCCGCTTACGCCTAAGGTTAGGTCGCATATCCACACCAAGTCAGTAAAATCGCTTTCAACTCGTTCTCAGCCAAAAATGAGCGACGACATTGCAATTGCAGCCCTCGCGCGGTTCATCACGGTGTCCGACCGGATGATCCATTTCAGAGCGACCATAGAAACTCCAGGGCAATTAGCTCCGTCCGTCCACACCTGCAAAGTCCGTAAGGAACAAGTGTCTAGACACGATTTCCAGCATTACGACTGAAGGAGCGGAGGAGATTCTGGCGACTCTGCATCGAAAATTGAATGAATATTGCTATTCGGTGTACGAAGAGCTATCGGTTCAGCTCAGCGAGCTCATGGACCAATGGACCATGGATCATCATTCGACCTCCACCCTTCCACTTTATCAGCCCAAATACGTTCCGGCTGGGTGCCGGTTACCGCCATGCGAGACTGAAGTATTCGAAGGAGATTATCTAAAATGGCCAACATTTAGAGATCTTTTCACAGCAATTTATGTTGAGGGTTTCGCTTCAGCATGGGCAGCGCTTTGAGACCGTTTCGAAAATAAGAGACTGCTAGTAAAAAGCCAACTCAAACTCCTTTTTAACTTGGGTTCCGTATCAGGCCAGGCTCTGAAAGATCTTCGGAGCACAATCCAAGGGTGTTTGATTGCTCTGGCTCATTCCGACATTTCCACTGAGAACTGGGACTGTCACTTGTATTCCTGTGCGCCAGTAGATTACCAAAACTGACACTCTTCTTGTGGGAGCAGTCTCTTTCATCCAAGTCCGACATTCCGACTTGGGATGAGATGAACACGTTTCTTGGTGACCGATACCGAACGCTAGAGGCGATTGAGGATTTGAAACCAAGCCTCAGCATTCACTCTAGCACTAAGAGTCAACCCGTCTCCCAAAAGCTCAACTCTTTCGAAGCTAAGGTGGTCACAAAAACAAAGAATTGTGATCTGTGCGCAAAAGAGAATCATCTCGTACGCTTATGCCAGCGTTTTCTCCAGATGTCTGTCGATGCGCGAACCAACTACATTAAACAAAAACAGATTTCCTTAAATTGTTTCGCGAGAGGCCACCAGTTACGTGAATGTGTTTCACATGGCGAGCGCGGCATCATACGTTACTGCATAAAGGCAACCCCAATTCCCGTGGGCCAACTGACGGAAATAGTTCTTCTGTAAGTCCACAAAATCCAGCTGTACAGGAGGCCGCCAACGGTTCAGAAAATCTACCCGGTGTGCAGAATTATTTCGCAACCGGTCCTAGAGCTGATTTGCAAGGCACGGCCATTATTCACATATGCCACATATGGTACGAATTACAGAGCTCGAGCTCTAATAGACTCGGGTTCTGAGGCAACGTTTATTACGGAACGTCTGTTCAATCTAATTAAGCTGCCATTCCGCCTCATCCAGGCCCAAGTTTCGGGCTTAAATCAGACCGTTTCCGCTCAGGCGACCAGGCTCTGCCATTTTTCCCTTCGGGTCCCTAATAAGCCAGGTCTTCAGCTAGAAACCTCAGCTTACGTTTTGCCTGAACTGCCCGGGAAGCTACCATATTACCCAATACCATTAGATGCGCTGAGTGCTTTACCTGCTATCCCCCTGGCAGATCCCACATTTTCTCTCAGATTGATATTCTGATCGTAGCCAACATTTTACCATTCGTTTTGCTGAGTGGCACGCGCAGAAACATTTGTGGCTCTCTCCTAGGTCAAAAACTATTTTTGGCTGGGTGCTTACCGGCCCAGTTTCTAGTACTTCGAGCCAAGAGCGGGTATCAGCTTTCACGACCCAGATAACCGACACGAGTGACAGGGTCGTAGGGAAACTTCTTACTAAGTTTTGGGAGGTGGAGAACATACCCACAAAAGAGGAACCCAAGTGCTCCACAGTTTGTTGCTGAACCAGCACCTTTATCAGTTTCATTGTTCTTTTTCCTTGCTGGAGAGGATTCTGCTGCATCCTTATTTTCTCCACCTACAACATCTACATTTTTTGCCCCCTTACCAACATCCCAATCAGCACCAGCTGCCACAGAAGAACGAAAATCCGGCTGCTGGTCAGGCATGATATCGCCTTCAAAAGGGGACTCGTATCTACAAAAGACCTTTGACGGCACAAGAGACAGCGGCATCTTCTGGATTTGCTGCGCCTTTGCCTCCCACATCGGCACCGGCAGCAATTCTCAACCAATTCGCAGCACCTGCTTCAGGATCGTTTAATCCACTAGCCAGGCTAGAGCCTCAACGTAATCAACCAAATCAAGGATTTTCTGTTCCGCCTTTGGAAGACCTGGTGCGAGGAGCTCCATTAAAACCAAATAATCCCACAAGCGAGCGCAGATGTTCCAAGTATGTCTTCAGGAAGTAACCAAATAGTCGAAAATCAAACGTCAAACCAAGGAATAAAATTTTTTACACCACCACCTTCGGCGCCAGCGGGAATAAATCTTTTTACACCCCAACCTCCAGGAGCCAATAGTAGAATTCGCGCCGTCGAGGTCCTTACTGCGCGAGGGACTATAACGCGTCCCATCCACAAACTAGTACTTCTACCTATGGAGGATAATACAACCTCCGCACTTCCACAATAATGCATTCTGGCCTCATTCGAGTACTTTGTCCTATGGAGGACAAGGCAACCTCCGCTTTTCTAAAATTTTGCCTTCTGTTCTTATGCTTTAAAATCCATTTATAATTGATACTAATTTCGCTTATAATTTTCTTTGTTTTGTATTATTAAAGCATCAAAACCATGGCTCCACGTGCTCGCAGCGCCCAAACTTTGGACGACAGACGTTGACGAGGTACTCAGTCCTACCGCTGCCGAGTCTGTCGGGGTGTACCCGGTTCCTCAGGCTCATCAGGGCAAAGTGGCTCCGCGCCGTTCTCATCAATAAATATTGTGCGAATTGCCTGGCTCATAAACACTCCGGGGAGCAATATCGCAGTGGCGACACGAGCAAAAAGGGCGGGCAGAACCATCACACGCTGCTCCATATGCACGAACGGGCCGGGATTTCTCGTCGACAGCCTATCCAGCGACATCGTCAGCCGCCTTCCCCACAACGCCACCAATCGCCGTCCTCGAAACATCGCGAATCGACCGCTCGGCTGACGATGTCAGTCTCCCGGTCTCCTTCGCCATCGGCAAGGCAAGCGCGTACACCGGTACGACGACCAGCTTCAGCAGCAACCCCATCAGTAGCGGCGCTACTGCAGCATCAGACCCTCCACATTGTCCCGTCGGCCATCGCGTTGCTGCATCCGAACCCCGATCCGAGCGCTTAGTGACACCATGCTATGACATCCGACTTGCCGATGAGCAGTTCCATCTCCCTTAAACAGTATCGCTGGTGTACCCCGAGGTATTCGGATGGGTCGTATCTGGAGCATACAGACACGTCTAAGCCAGCGTCATTTATCCTTTGCTACGCTCGCCTTTGCAAGGGGGGGCGGGGGAATGTTTACGCCAAACCGTCCCAATTTCAGTTTCCCTCCCGTCCGGCCTTTACAGTCGTGAAAGTAGTTCTTCCAGATCGCTCGCATCTCCTCGGGTCTCCACTCCGCTCTCCGAGCGGCACTTGTAATTTCCCCTGTAGTTTTAAGTTCGAGTTCTAATCGAGCAGTTATACCAACTAGATCTAATTTACCAGCTATACCAACTATTTTAATCTAACATTTAAAAGAAAAAGGTCGACGATCGTGAATAAAAAGTGAATTGTGCAAAATCAGCCAGTTCTTATATCTGCCCGGTGTCCAGCAAGAATCCGCCCACTCCGTTTTAACAATAATGAGATTTTCTCAATAATATAAGAACTGCGAGAGGAGGGAATTATTGCTTAATTCGAGTATATATATTAAACACAAAAAGATTTTTATTTATTATCATCATGTTTGTTGACAAGTGAACATTTTTCTAATGATAGGGAGCGATCAAATCATTTAAAAAGAGGTGCTAAGTCAATTGAAACTTTTTAAGTGATACTGATGGTAATCTAACCGCTCAAAATAAGAGAGTCAAAACGCCATTAAACCCTTAGATGACAACGACTTGACCACAAAGCAATCTACAGATGAGTGTGTCAGGTAGTTGGGCGAAGAACTAAGAAAACTTGTAAATGAAAGTATTAATCCTCGACTGGCAAAAATTTCAAATCTTGAAAATAAAATATAAGTCTATAACAAGAAAGCAGAAAGTACTGATCAAATATTTGAGAAAGTTCTTGAAAAGATAAAAGTTATTCAGGATTATATTTTTAAGTATGTAACAAAACCGACAGCGATACCAAAAAAGACAACAATTGAAATAGAAGGTGTAGCCTTTACCACTATTAGAAGAATATGATTTGCATGGATGAGTCCATGAGTTGCATGGACCGTCTCGCAAACATTTTTAACGAAGACGAGTCATTACGAAAGGAATAAATGACCTGTGGCAAGCAGACTAAACAATTCTTGAAATAACTAAGTGCCGAGGTCTAAGTGGCACTCTTACTCTCAAACTTATCTACAATCAATATCCGCACTCTTCCTCTGAAATTATTGTATATAATCATATCCCAATTGCTCCCAAACTTTTACAAGCAAAGGGCAGAACAGGAAAGATTTTTGTAGCAAGAAATTAGTCTTAAGCTGAGATCAATCAAATAAAGACGTGCATTTAAATCTTGGCTTTTTTAATTTTCTTAGCGTTGTCCTTAGTCAACCGACAGGGCATTTGTTCGACTCATATAAAATAAGAAACACTTTACTATATATATCATATTATATCAAGTGCAATTCTTTACTTCTTCTCCCGGGATTCCTCGCAGCTCCTGGTTAAGAGCCCGAAGTAATGGATGCTTGCCGCAACCACAGCGACCACTAAAATCGTCTAGATCAAGAGCCCATATCATGCCGCCACCTAGTCGCAGGCTGCTAATTAGTTTTGCTTTTCGCCGAATGTCCGCTACATCATCATATGAGATCCATTGATTGCCACTGTATGCATAGGGTCCGATGCGGCCTTCGTCGTCTCTTATCACACTCCATTCACTATTGCCGACCATTTCGCAAATCTCATAGTAAGCCAAAAACCCTCCAGAGCGAGTATAGGTTCCTGCCTTACCCGGACCTAGTGATTTATCGTTTAACGACTTGTGCTTTTGGTCAGCAAGCGTATATGACTGGCCGTACATTGGCATTCCCATTATCAGCTTTTCCGGGGGAGTCCCCCGATCCAGCCAGTAGTGTATGCTAAAGTTTCCGTTGAAGCTTGGATTGGTATCACCCTCAACGTAGAAGAGCGGAGCCACGTGACCCGTCTTATTGTCCCAGTGGCCGTGGAAGTCGTACGACATTATGGCAATCCAGTCGAAGTATTGAGTCAACTCGTGCACTTGGTATCCGATGTCAATAACCATTTTACTGGGTGAGACTGCTGCTGAAAGAAGCAGGCCATTTGGCTTAAACGCGTGCGAAAGTTCTCTTACTAGAGCAGAAAAACCGTGCTTTTCTGCAGGATCACCTTTGGCGCAGTCGACCTGCCAGCACACAGGGTATTCCCAGTCTAGATCCAGTCCATCGAACCCGTACTTCTCTAGAAATCTTAGCACACTTGTTATAAAGCGCGCTCGGGCCTGTGGGTCTAGCACCAATCGAGCGTACTTGCTATCTAGCGAGTCATTCCATCCACCGATTGCTACAGAGACGCGAAGACCTTTTTTTTTGTATTCAACAACGCGTTTGTAAAACTTATTGTCAATATCTGCCCAGGTATCGTGAGTCTTAATAGTCAATGAGCTGTTATCGAGTACCGCAAAGGCATAAATGACGTGGGTGCACAGGCTAGCGTCTATATCCTCGGGGACATATTTGCCATGACCCGGTCGGTACCACGCCCAGTTGGTAAAGTAACACACCACTTTATATGTCTCGCTACTGCCGAAATTGAGGGCTATCGTCGGCTTCGGACGTGATGAAAATTTATTGTTCTGAAGGCTCAAAGCCGTGTTGATTGTTGTGGGCTCCGCGATTGTATAAGTGGGAAAAGGACCATGGACTACAGGCCATTTTGTAGGTTCTGATCCATTAACATTTTTAACATTATTCGGCCATTCGCAAATGTTAACATTCCACTGAAGACCAGAAGGGCACCTGAAAAATATAGTTATTAAATTAAGTAATCAACTTTGGGAAAGTCGTCCTGGGATTAATTATATAATATTTTTCATTAATTACGCTGACTTTGAATAATATAAATTATATAATTAATTATTATATTATATTTGCTAGTGGAAATTCACAAGGCGCCACCTTTTGTCAGAGGAAGCATGTTGAATAATTGACAGTGACGTCAAAAACCATGTGAGGCCTTATAACCTAATATTCTTCATAAATAGGGAAATATTGTTCCGATTTCCGATTTTTGGTAAGTCGATAGATATCAACAAAAATAAGTTATACAAGGTGAAGCGAAGACATTAATAATAATATAATAGACGCCACAGTTGTTCGGGGTTTGTGAGCGTTAGAATGGGCGTGGCCGGATGAAACCTCGTGGCAAGTTGCTGTGGCATCTCTTAAATACATATTCTTAAGCACAACTTTGTAGCCCTCATAGTTTCCGAAATTTTTGCATTTTTTGTTTTTCGGATTTTGTGGGCGTTAGAGTAATCGTGGCTTCATTTGAAAAATACAATTCGCATTGGGAGCATCATAAAAACCGACATGCTTAATCCGAACTTTCTGTCACTTGTAGTTACCGAGATATCAGCTTTTTAAGAAAATGCGAAAACCGTCTTTTGAGCTTGGTGGGTGTATGGTTGGGTGTGGCCGGATAATTGTACCACTATTAGTTCCTGAGATCTCAGAGTTCATACGGACCGACGGACAGACTGACGGACAGACGGATCCACTTCGCTATTGATCCTCATAAAGAATATATGTACTATATAGGGTCGGAAAAGCTGCCTTCTACCTGTAACAAACTTTTTAACGAATCTAGTATAAACTTTTACTCTACGAGTTACGGGTATATAAAGAGTATAACGCCCGATTTAACCACTGTTAATGTTGTTGGGACACTCACGGTCGCATAGGGCTCCCACATACTTCGATCTTTCGGATTAAGCATAAAGAAAGGAAAATTCTATATTCAAATACAAATTGGAGTTCACAATCATAAAAATTTAAGCATATTATATAGTAAAGTAAAAGGATATATTGTGTTCATTGAAAAGTATAAAACAGGTAAAAGGAAGGTATATATATATTCTTGATAAGATAGGAACCCAATAACCAAATCGTTTAAGTTAATGTGAACAGTAAGATCTCAAGAACTATGGAAGATACAAAGTTTAAGAATCCTATTCTTGAAAGCAAAAAAGTTTGGATCAAACATACAAATTCTATAGACGAAACCGCTGCTCGAGGTGGATGCTGAGATCTCAGGATCTATAAGAGCTATAAAGTTGGGACTAAGCATGTATATTCTTTGGATACCAGCGCATCTTAAAGTAGTACCATTATCTGAACACGCTCACTCTCACACCTATCAACCGCGACAAAAGATAGCTGCATACTCTAAGAACGTAGAGAAATCGGTAACTATATGTCGACGTCAGAGCGCTGACTGAGACAATGCTGATCGAGGTGAAAGACATCGACGAGATCACCGACAAAACGGACGTTTTATGTGCGGTTAAATCCCAGATTGATGTGGAAATGCCAGAATCCGCGGTGGTTGGATTAAGAGCAGGAACTGCAGGAGCCAGGAAGACTGCTCAAAATGCTGCTACAATTGCGGCGCAAAGGAACACCAAGCCAGAGGCTGCAAAGGCCTGCTGCATGCTCTGCAAGCGCGAAAAAAGGAAAGACTGCGACCACCCAACAGTGAGTGGGAAATGTCCGTACTTCAAGAAGGGTATGCAAGGGCTCAGGGGCAAATGAAGTTCCTGCAGATTAACCTAAGCCACAGCGAGGTTGCCCAATCGTTGCTGGAGCAAAGTGTAACAAAATGTAGACATGGCACTCATAAGCGAGCAATATCGAAATAAAAACTTCGGAGAATGGGTAGCGAATAATAGCAAAAAATCGGCAATATGGAGCTGCTGAAACCCAAGGCGCCGGCTTCGCCAGGGCTCATGTGAATGGTATAGCTTTCTACAGCTGCTACCTGCCCTCCAAGCCTCCCTCAGGCAATAACTGCGCTCGAAGAGATAGCAGAAGACCCAAGGGAAAATCGTCCCACCGTAATTGCCGGTAATTTTAATGCATGGGCCACGGAGTGGGGATCACCCCGGACAAATGCGAGGGGAAAAGCGCTACTTGAGAGCTTCGCCGCACTTGACCTAGTACTGCTTAACTCTGGAACGAAACCGACCTTCTCCAGAGCCGGCACCAATTCCATCATTGACCTCACCTAAACGTCCCAGCTTATATATAGCGAGTAATATCGAGCTATTTCGAAGACTGCCTGCTCCTGTACGAAACGGAGTCCGTGCAGGCGTCTCATATGGTCACCGGGGGAGTTCCCAGAGGATCAATCCTTGGCCCTCTGCTGTGGGTCGTCATGTACGACGGGATTCTTAGGATTATGATACCGGAAGGGGCTCGACTGATTGGCTTTGCGGATGACGTAGCCATAGTAGTAACGGCCAAAAAACTCCCAGACGCGGAGGAAATCTGTAACGAAGCTGGGAAACGAGCAAGCGAGTGGTTCGACGATAAGGGTCTTGCCCTGGCAGCGCACAAGACCGAGGCAGTCCTAATAAGCAGCAGGCAGAAAGTGGAGACGGCTACCATACGAATCGGCGAAGCCATAATCAAACCCCGCCCAAGTCTAAAATACGTAGGTGTCATGATCGACCACCGACCTTCCTTTGAAGAACATTTAGCATACACCAGTGGCAAGACAGGTAAAACGGCGGCCGCCATTTCGCGAATCACCGAGGGACCGAGGCAACCAGGACGTAGATTACTGGTTAGCGTTGTCACATCGACGCTGATACACGCTGCTCCCATATAACGAAAAATAAAAGCTACAAGCAGGATGGCAAATCTGCTAATATCCGCGCAGGTAGCACAGGGGTCGCCACCGCTGAATCCCTACGCAAAAGGTGCAGAGAACTCACGTGGCAAGAGAGGTGGGTAAATAGCATAGACAATGGACGTATAAGCTCATCCCATATCTGCAGAGATGGCTGGGACGCAAGCATGGGCATGTGGACTACTACCTAACACAACTTCTGACAGGACACGAATGCTTTAAATAGTATCTGAATAGGTTTAAGCATGAACGCTATCCGCACGGCCCACTCTGCGAGGCGGATAACGAAGACGCAGAACATGTGTTTTTTGTCTGTCCGAGATTTTAAAATTAACGTCTAGATCTGAGCATAAGGGTTGGGAATACGCCAGCCGCTGGTAACATGGTGGAAATTATGCTAGAATCTGAAGTTAATTGGTCCGCTGTAAACAACATGGCCACAATAGTACTCAAAAAACTGCGCATCGCAGAAAGACTGCGAAATTTCAATGGGATAGAATCCTAGAGAGCCCTAAGGGCATTCCCAACCCCCTTCCCCCCCCCCCTACCTAACGGCAGTACCGCCGGGGAAGCGGGGAGGGGGTTTTTACTGGAGTTAGCTTACCCAACTCCGAATTGGCTTTCGAGGCTTTAAGCCACCACTAATAAAAAAAAAACAAAATAAATAAAAAAAAAATTAATAAAAAATAAAAAACCATTGCAGCGCACATAGCCACGACAAACAACCAATCGTCAGAGGATGCCATGTTTGGTTGCTTCAATGTTACCAACGTTATAAGCACTAGGTGTAAGGCTGAAAGAAGCTGGTAGTATTTGGGTTGGTATATCGTATATCGTGCCTTTGACGTAGCAAAGGCTGTCTAGCCCCTTCATAATTCTTTAAAGTACGGCAACAGGCGGGTGCACGCCAGTTCTCTGAACAGTCCAGAAAAAAAGTAAGCAGCGATTCCAAGTGATCCTGATTCGAATCCCCCGGCATGAGAATACTGATTACGAAATCGGCGTTATAGCTGTGTACTCCTAAACGCAATTCATGTTCGCGTTACTAGCAGAAGAGTAGTTCGAAAGAAAAAATGGTTTTAAGAAAATGTTTTTCCGGAAGCGTGAGCCCCCTTGCCACAAAATTTTCGGGACGCTAAATATTACAGAATATTGACCCACATACAGTCCCAGGTGGTTTCCAGTTACTTCAAGCTCTCTATCTAATCATACAGACAGCTGAAATCTTAAAAATTATTGTTGACAAACATAAAATTTCAACCTATTTGTTCTTTCACTTGTGCTGTTGGAGCAGTAGATTAAGTTTTATTGTTAGTTTTAAGGAAAGATGAAAAGAAATAATTATTTGAATACGGAGCCAAAATGTAAACAAACCACCTTAAAAACCAATGTACAAAAGCTTATCAGTTTCACTCAATCTTGAGCATAGCCGAGTTGTTGTGATCTAACTGATAAGCTTTTCAGTTCGTGGCTATGCGAAGTGTTATGCTGCTCTCGGGAGAACATTAACCGATCGAACCTCGAAGCAGCTGGCAGCAATAAACTTTGGAGTCAACTTCGTTTCGTTTGTCTCGCTTTTTTTGGAAATTCCCCAGTCGCTAGTCGCAAGTCTTTTTTTTTGTTTAAAGTTTTTAAAGTAATTTTTCCGGGAAAACTCTCCCGGATTTTAAAGGCGCCCGAACAGGGACTACGGCTAGTTTTGTTATTAATTTTCGCGTCGGAAAAACAATCAAAAAACAGTGCACCTCTCGTCGTCTCGGCATCTGTTTAGTTTTTTTAAATTTGTTGGCGAAAATTCTAGCTGGTGGAATTCGGCGAAGCAGTGAAGTGTTGGCGAAAGCAGTTGGATACGGAAGAAAAGTGCTTGGAAAATTATGCCTGCAGAGCAGTTATTTGTCTGCTATATATAAGTGTCAGTGGCTTCTATGCTGTACATATGTATGTACATATGTATGTACATATGTATGTACATATGTATGTACATATGTAAAACAATACATCGGTTAATTTTTAGCGCCAATTGCAGCGGCATTGGTTTTCAAACTGTATATAGCCAACAGTTCCTACAAAACTCGGCAGTGAATTTAAGCCCTGCTCACAGTTTTATGTTTATATGTACATATTTGCCTGCACATTAATTCGGTAAATATTCAAAGATTCGGCCTGGAGAAAAAGTTTAATACATTTGTTGGTTTTTTTTGTCGGTGTTTGGGATCCACTTAAATAGTTTGGACAATTTATTTGTCAAATGAAATTCAATATTTGTGCATTTTTCGGCTTTGGTTAAACGGCAAATAAACATACAAACGTATTTTGTGCATTTTGGTGGTGCTTCTGCGCACATTTAACCCTTATCCAACCCAATAAATTTTTTTGGAGAAATTAAATTTGTTTAATTTTTAAAATTTAAAATTTAGATATTGTTGGAAATTTATAAGGAAGCATTTTGAGCATATTGGAAATAAATTTATTTAACCCTTGTGTCCGACTGTTTTTACTTGGAGTATTTTATTTTTTTATATTAACCTAAAATGTCTGAGAAAGAAAAGGAATCATCGTCAAAGCCTAGTGCTAAACTAATAGTGGCTATGCAAAAACACGGCAGGGTAATTAGTGACATTCAACGTATGAGAACGTCATTCGAGGAAAAAACCATTTCATTCGATAGGTTTCAAATGGAATACGGAATGCAACTTCTCGAATCATATTGCGAGAAATTGATGGATATTCAAGGAGATATCGATGTGCTAAATCCTGTGAATGATTTAAGAGCGTCTGTTGAGGAGATGTGCATAATTACAAAAGCGTTATATCGGCCCGCAATGAGAGAATGCGATCCTCAGAGACTTAGTCAAAGTGATATAGGTGGTTATCGTCATTCGTCTCAGTTGCCAAAAATGAATCTACCAAAATTTAGTGGAAAACATTCCGACTATAAAAATTTTATAAGTCTTTTTGAGAGTTTAGTTCATAACGACCCATCTATAACAAACATAGAGAAATTTAACCATTTGCTAACATGTCTAACAGATGATGCATTAGGTACTGT